GCATGGCTGGCTGGGGAATTCTGGGAGTTGAAGTCCACACATCTGAAAGTTGCCAAGGTTGGGAAACACCGCACTAGACGCTGAACTAGATTAACATTTCGTTTGGGTAGCTTGCAATCCAGCCATGTTCTTGGAACCCAGCTGTTACCATCAACGGGAGCGGTCCTCCCCACCCAACACAAAAGATGTTGAATGGAGGACCCTACATGGGGCTGACTGGCAGTGATTTTTCTTCCTTTTGCGATTGTTTGTTTGTGGCTTAAGTCATGGTGGACTCTTGCTAGAGGAAGGCCCGCTGCCTTCTTCAGCCTGGTGCCCCACAGTTGCGTTGGAGATTCAGTGTGGAGAGTCCACACAGCACTCGAGGATTGAACTGCGAACCCAGGAGGGTGGTGGCAGGGAAGGGCTGCAACGTACCTCCCCACCCCCACGTGGTCTTCCCAGGGGGCTTTACCTGACAGATATCAGCTCCTCCTTCCTCGTAACCTGCACACAGGGTGTGGTTCTCAATGGCTCCGTTGTACCAGTCGCTGCTGTTGCACTGAGCGACCGAGAAGCGGCTGACCTTCACTTCATGCATGACGTCAGACACCTCCCTGGCTGCTGAAATGGAAGGCAGCCGTTGAGGAGATGGCAGCCCCTCGTTCCCCTTCTCCCAGGCCGCTTTGGGGCTTTCGGCAAGGGCCCCTCTTTGTGGGGAGCAGCAGGGCCTCGGCTGCAGCCTCCAGGCTGCCCCAGATGGCCCAGATGCCAGGAGGGAGGAGAGGAGAGGAGAGGAGAGGAGAGGAGAGGCAGCACTGGCAGAACACACAGTGATTCCAAGCATTAAACTTAAATTGTTGTTATTATTATTATGGTTGGTCGCGCAGTCATCCGGATGCTTAGACCGGATTTGGCATCTCTCTCCACCCATCGAGCCCTTCCCCAGGACCTGGGATGGGCAGATGTTTGATGGCGTTAAAGGGATCGTCGCAGGGTGGAAGCTGTTCCAAGGAAAGCCGCCGCTGTTGCTGCTGCTGCTGCTGCTGCTGCTGCAGAGGAAGCAAATGGCAAATTGCAAATTGCAAAGTGCCAGCTTCCTCCATCACATTTAGGTGCAGGAATGCCTTTTTATTCCACAAAGGTACACTAGGATGGAACGTGGCATCTGGGAAGCAAGCAAGTGTGCGTGGGGGGAGGTTGGGGGTGTGTGTGCATGTGTGTGTATGTGAGCAAATGTGCCCTCTGTCCATGCTCACTGGAGCAGCTATTTAGGGAACAGGGAAGTCTCCTGAAAGTCTCCCTTCAGCCTGTCTGAAAGCCACTCGCTCTGAAGTTTCTAAAGAGGCTCCAGATTCCACAGAGTTCTCTACCGCGGCTTAGCATCGTTGTACAGCATTTCATCCCACCCAGCAGCGCCTGACGTCCAGCGGAAAAAGGCACACATGAAGGGACAGAGGAGCTGTCCGGGGCCAGAGGAAGAACGTGGCTGTGTTCCCACCCTCCGGTGGAGAGAGAGAAGACCTTTACTGGGGTTGGGCTTCTAGGCACGGGGCGGTGGCCAACCCCTGGCGGCCCAGAGGATGGCTGTGGGATCTCACCAGCTTTTCCTAGGATGCCCCAGCCGCTGATGTAACAGTGGGTTAAGAGAGACACGGTGACGGTCGTGTCAGGCAAGCAAGCCGGTTGGATGTAGTCGCTGCATTTCACGGGCTGATCTAGCTCCATCAGGGCAATGTCACTGGTCTCTGTGTTCCTCTGGTAGTCCTCATGGATTACTATTCGCTTGATGTAGCGCACGTGGACCTCGGAGCCAAGCGACGAAAGCCTCCATGCGCCAACCACTGCACGCCAGTGCGGAAGGTCTCTGGGGACAGAATGAGGGTCAGCTCTCCCTACCGCACTCAGACAGCCATGGCTTACCACCATATCTGCAAATGGGAGTTGCTAGCAGGATGGAAAAACTAGTCACCAAACTGTTCTCATGATTCTCAGCTTGGGTTAACTCTACATTAAAAGCAGGCAGACAAACCTGTCCCTTGTTCCGAGACACTGAACCTGCGCCTCCTTTCTTGCCATGGGATCTTCTGCATACAAGCAATAGAAGGAGTTGCGTGAGAGTCAAGGAAGGTCTCAGTGGCTGAGGAGTTTGTTTCCATCACAGGCATAAACTGACAAAACCAGAAAGGATGCCCCCAAGCTATTGTTTTACGCTGTCTTGAGAGGGGGTTCCCGAAAAAGCGGATTATGAATCTTATCAATAAATAAGAACACAAATCGTAAGAGTGGGTTTGTGGAGCATTAGAGTGAGAGGCAAAAGGATGGTGTAGGCTGCCTCCAGTCCATAAGTGAGTTCTGGAGGCTACCTAAAGGCCATTGACCTTGTGCATCTGATATTCAGCACTGAATTGTCCCTGAACCTGGAAGTGGCAGTTAGCCTATCATGGCTAACAGCAATAAACTCATCTTCTGGGATTCTGCCATGAAAGAGGATGGCCGTGTGTTTGGGTGTCTTCAAAAGACAAGTAGCCAAATTCATGGAGGAAAAGGTGGCCAACAGCTCCTAGTTGGTTCTATATGTCCTCCATGCAGAGTCGGAACAACTCTTCACGCCTGTTGATGGGGAACATAAGGGAGATGGGTGCTGCAGTGATTCTCCAGTGAGGAACATCTGTTGGGGTGCTGAGTGAACAAAAGGTTGGGATAGAGATGGCATAGAATCCATAGATGGACAGTTTCCTCAGGGTCGGAGGACGTAACTCACTCCCCTGGCCCTCTGGAGAGCTGCCGTGTGACGGGCATGTGGTGGTACCAGAGGAAGAGAAGGGGCTTTGGTTTTGGTTCCTTGGGTCGGGGAGATGGGAGTGGGAATTCCCTGGAGCAAATCTCTCGCATGTCCATAGGACTCTGGGTGGCTTACAAACACTGAAAAGCAATACAGCACTAAAACAGTACAACTATGTGAGCACCAGCCATGCGCATCTGGAAAAGGCCATTGGTCAGGCAAGTGAAGGCAAGTGAAATCCTGCAGAGGTTCAGCCAGGATTTCACACACTTCTTGAGCACGATCACCAGGGGAGGAGCCCTAGGAATGACAGTGGCTGAATTTCAGTGATGAGGCTTGAGGGAATTTTAAAAGTGGAGGTGGGCTTGCCTCCAGGGCCTCCCCCTTCCCTCTGTTTTCACGAGAGCAAAGCTTTGGTGCTGCTGCAAATCAGCCTTTTTGCTCCCAGATTTTGGCAGCTTGATCTCAAGGGGGTGCTGGGGCTGGAAATGGGGTGCTGGGGGTGTGGGGGGCAAGGAGTCATGGACAGTGAGGTCCCCTCCTTGGTCTAACCCCCCTCCCAGGTTCTTCAATTTTTTTCTCTCATTTTTATATTGTGTTATTGTATTATTATAAAACACAAGTAGTACATTATATTATTTGGGTCCAGTGGTATTTATACAGCATTGACTAGAGGTTATTAACACTCTGATATTTAGATAACTTAAGTCTTTAAAGATAAAGAAAAAAAGAAATTTATATCAGTGTGAACTGTGATTTCTAAAATGTTCATGTTGATAAACCTAAGGTTAAATTTTACATCTAAAGCTAAATGGGGCATTAATAAACAACAGCAAAATATATTAAATTATTTGTTATGTAATAAAGGCTTCTATCAAGCTTAATACTTAATACTAGGGCCTCCACTGTATTGTTACTTATTACTGTTCGTGCATATTGAAAGAAGAAAAAGGAAAAAGACATAAAAAACAAAAACAAAATAAACAACAATAATAAAAAGAAAAAAGTTTAAAAAACCCAGCTATTTTGTTTCTAACTTCCTCCTTTTTGTGCCTCTATGAATTTGCAGGGTTTATAAGAGTCCACTGGAGTTGGGCGGCCAATAAATTTAAATAATAATAAGCATTTAGGCCCCCTTAGAAGGTATACTGTATGTGTTTATATTTGCCATGCTGCATAATCTATTTTATATATGGGAACCATTCTTGCTTGAATTCGGTTAAACTTCTGTTGTGGGTATATGCCATTAATTCTGCCATTGCTGCATATTCTCCAAATTTAAATTCCCAGTCAGATATCATCAGAATTGTATCTTTCTTCCAACATTGGGCAAAATTTATTCTCACTGCTGTGAGCATATATCTCAGTAAATTATAATATTTCTTGTTGTGATATTCTGGGATTATATCTAGTAAAAAAGTTGTGATTTCTTTTTGAATTTAATTTCCAATTTAATTTTTTTTTATATTGTACGATGTATATCTTTCCAGTACTTTTGAGGGTTTTTTTACATGTCCACCACATGTGTTAAAATGTTCCTTCTGCTTCATGGCATTTCCAAATACTGTATGTATGATCTATCTATCTTGGAGATTATTGGTGGAGTTTACCATCCGTAAAACTTTTTGTACCAATTTTCTTCTAGGTTGTATCTTGGAGTAAATGTTATAGATTTGCTCCATAATTCTTCCCCTTGTTGTGTTGTGACTGTTCCTTTACAATTTTGCATCCATTTTATCATACGGCTTTCTATTTCTTCTGAGTCGTACCTAAGTAGGAGTTTATATATGTGCCTTAAGAAATGATGCTGGTTTTGTACAAGGGTTTCAAATTCTGCCTTTTTTCTTAACGTCCCTCCTTCCTTCCTGAGATCTGATTTTATCCTTCCGACTATTTATAAGCGCATCAACCACGATACACTCCAGCCTTCATGAAACACTTCCTGCTGGGGCTTTAATCTGTTTGTAGGATCTGAGAGGACCAGGTCTGCACAGGTGGTTCCATTTTCCTTTCTGTAAGTATTTCCAGCATGGAAGGCATTTGAAGGGGAAACTAGAAGTGAAATTGTTAGGCTTATTATTCCCTTTGTGAAATTCCATACTTTTATCCAACTTTGTATGATAAAAATGTCCTTTAAAATTTTTATCCACCTTTGTGTCACTGCACCAGAAATGTCTGACAAATCCATTTAACATGATGTGCATAAAAAATCCATTTAAAAGGACGCACTTATAAAAAAGGCCTCAATTGCACGGTTGCAGACACCATCTTGACTTTTTTGACTACCCCCCATGTGGACCTCCCTGCCTTTTCAAACCACACGAGTTAAGTTGGCCATTGTTGCATCTTCAGGATATTGATTTTCTTATTAGTCCCCTTCAAAAATGAATTGGTTAATGATCGCGTTACTCTTTCTGTCCTGTTCTGTCCCTCCCCCCCTCGCCCCGAAATCCAAACCTTCAACTTTAGACTTAGTGAGCAGGAGGATTTGCTTCAAGGTAAATTATATGAGTCATTCCCACTCCAAACATTGGGTGGTGAACCTTCTGCTTTAATGTGTTCTGCTCCCTCCCCTGAATGAGCATGGTTTAGTTTTATACTATGTAACTTACTCCTTTAATTACTGCATTTCCTATTTAGTATACTACAGGGACATCCACAAGGTGTGGTCAACAGAGTCAAGATGGTGGCCACGACAGTGTGATTGAAGCTCTGCAGAACTTCAATCACACCATTCTGACCACCATCTTGACTTTTCCGACCACGCCCCGCAAACACCCCTGATCTGCTACTCCTCTGAAAGGTGTTGGCATAGGAAGTGTAATAAAAAGATGCCAAAAGAGTAAATACTCCAGCAGCACCAGGGTTGTTCTGGAAGTCCTTCCCTATTTTTAAGCTTTCATGGCGAAAACTGCAATGGGGTAGTTCCAAGATGCTGCCCTATGAAGCCAGTAGCTCTGGGAGGTCCTCCTGGGGCCCCTTCCCCTTCTGGAGCTTGGCTCCCCCCGGCATGGGAGGGTCTCACCTTTTGTTTGCGAAACAGTGGGCTGCAGTGAGGATCCACCGGCCGGACACAAGGGACCCTCCGCAGGTGTGCTTGTGCCCCGTTATCGTTGGTAGCTGCAAGCTGACGATCCAAGGCCAGGCCCCGGGCTGGGCATTGGTGCTGCTCACCACCTGCTCACTCTGGTCATGTCTTGGCACTAAGGGGTGTCTTCCGCAAACGCTGGATGGAGAAACAAGCGTTGCTTCCTCACTAGCAGCAGCAGCAGCAGGGCAGTCCCCGTAAGCCGCGTCCCACCTCTCTCCAGCTAAGATGGTGCTTGGGCCCCCCACGCCCTCCTTCCTTCCCCCCAGCACCTGGTGTCCTTGGAAGCCTCGTCCCTCTGGGCAACCAGAGCCCTGCTTTCTGGATCAGACCCGGCTTCCTTTGTCCTCCTCCTCACTTACTCGCAAGTATCAACTATGGCGCGAGCGGGCCGGACAGTAGCAAGGATCTGGAGCGGAAGGAGCACCCATCTCATCCTCTTGGTGGCTCCAGATGCTACTCCGATCACCACATTCTCCCAGCGGTGGTGACGTCACAAGTGCCCAGAGCCAGGTCGCGGCCAATCAGCCCCCGGGCAGTATGACCTCACGCGGAATGTGCCGCGTCCAGGCAGCTCCTTTCCCCTCCCGAGCACCGTGGAACATCTGGCCCAGAGGCCGGAGCCAGAGGTGCGCCACTGGAGGAGCCACTGCTGGGACCGGCCTGCAGTTTGGGACATCCTCCTGAGAAGCACCCAACTGTCTGGGCCCTACGTCTGGGAGCCTTCTGAGTCCGGATGCAGCACAACAGAAACGGGGAAGGGACGCGACAGGAGGCAAGAGAGGAGGGAGAGGGGGCGGCGGAGGAGGAGGAGGAGAAAATGGGGGTCTTCAACTGAAGGCCAGGCAGAGAGGTGGGAACTTTGAAGGGTCTGAGAAAAGGCACACGGAGAAAGGAGGAGTGGGGTGGGTGGGCTGGACTTGCATGGCATGCCAGACTAAGTAGGGCTGGATCGTTTGTGGTTCTGTAAGGTCCACTAGCCTGGATTCTATGATTTCCAATGAGACTCCAGACAGAAGTTTTTTCAAAGCAAATACAGCTTTTATGTCTGGCCAGAAGAAAAGCAGGGTGGACCCCTCTCTGTCCGGCTGGCAGAGAAAAGACAGAGAACGGCCACCCCCAGGACAGTTTACAACAGCTTTGATACCTTTTTGTCATCAGGAAGCATCCAGGAGGAGGGTCACACACACACACACACACACAGACCCGTGTGCCTGCCTTCCAAGGTTGTCAAAACATTAGCTTAAGCAGCATAAACCAGTAGTTAAGTTTCTAGTTCTCATTTGCTACCGGGGTTTTTTCATAAAGCATTGCTAAGTTTTTGGCTAAGAAAACTAACTTATTGCAGAGGATGTGGT